TTCAAGCAGCATAGACACAGATGATATTTCCGTTTTTCCCAACAGGTGATTCTCCAGGTGAAACAGGGTTTGCACCGGCCCAGGGCCAGACTTTGAGCCATATTAACGGACCCCTTCTGGAGCCCCTCAACCAACCCAGTGATCAGGTAGGCAGGATACCCAGGAAAAGAATTCATGCTCTGTAAGTAGTTTGTCATGTGTGATCTCTGAAGTGTCGGCACCCATGAAGATCCGGGTTAGAATTGATCTTCAGTAACCCATGCTTGTCGAAGAGGCTAACTAATGGGATCGGGTGGTCAGGTTCGCTGACTTGGTTGACACATGTCATCGTGATCTTAAATGTGTAGATCGATGCTCATGTTGTTGATCACTGGATTGTCTATTCCATACCCAACACTCCACCACCCTGTCATACCCAACACTGGATTATTTATAGACCGCCGCCATGCAGCTGGACAATTGCTGAGTGCGCGGCGTGAAAACTAAATTCACTCGCTCACTCACTGAAGTGTCGGCAATTCAGAACCATTAGAAACAGAGTAAAAATTGCTTCATACAAATATGGACTGCAAGACCTTGCAGCTAAACCATGGTACAGACACACTCAAGTACAATACATGAAACTGCAAGGTTGACCAGGTACACAGGCAGTCTGAATACTATACCTTACACATGGTTCTACACCATATGCCATGCACAGTTTTTGTGTACAGGTGGTGGAACACAATCCCTATGCTGGAGTTGTGTCCCCTGACAGGTTCTCCCAGCAGATGAAAGCTCAGTTGGAGCGTGAGCTGAAGGGTACCGTCACAGTCAAGTCCATCTCCTCCCGGCCCAAAGTTACCAAGAAGATGAAGGACTATGTGAGTTATCTCTCATGAACCTGTGAAGATCCGGGTTACGATTAGTCTTCAGTAACCCATACTTGTCATAAAAGGCGACTAAATGAAGCAGGTGGTCAGGCTCACTGACTTGGTTGGCACATGTCATTGTATCCCAATTTGTAGATCGATCCTCATAATGTCTATCATTGGATTGTCTGGTTCAGACTTGATAATTTACAGATCGCCAGGGTTTGGTGTTAAACAACAAACATACAAATAAGACAAAATCTCTCCTGCCTTGATACATGAGTTTGAAAGATGGTGTTCAGTGTAAGACATGTTGCTTACGTTTGAAGAGGTTTTAGGTGATGTCAAACCTAGCACAATAACTGATGAAGTTGAATCACAGTCAAATTAGAATGTATGATAGAATCTCATGTTCTGCATTGGTTTGTGTTGCCTCAGACAGTTAATGCAAAATGACATAAAGAATCCCTGATAAAAATGACATTAAAGAATCTCTGATATGATTTGTTTCTGTTCTAGCGTGAAGAAACTGGACGCTCGTGAGAAGTCAGTGGCGGATATGTTCAAGAAGGGTCTGGATAAAAGGTCCGCTTACTTGACACGCAAGTCTAAAGGTGAGTCATGCTGTAATGTGAAATCCGCCACTTGACAACACAAGTCTAAAGGTGAGTCATGCTGTAATGTGAAATCCGCTACTTGACACGCAAGTCTAAAGGTGAGTCATGCTGTAATGTGAACTCTGTTGTTACTGACACGCAAGTCTAAAGGTGAGTCATGCTGTAATGTGAACTCTGCTACTTTGACACGCCAAGTCTAAAGGTGAGTCATGCTGTAACGTGAACTCCGCTTACTTGACACGCTAAAGTCTAAAGGTGAGTCATGCTGTAATGTGAACTCCGCTACTTGACACGCAAGTCTAAAGGTGAGTCATGCTGTAATGTGAACTCCGCTTACTTGACACGCAAAGTCTAAAGGTGAGTCATGCTGTAATGTGAAATCCGGCTTACTTGACACGCGCAAGTCTAAAGGTGAGTCATGCTGTAATGTGAAATCCGCTTACTTGACACGCAAGTCTAAAGGTGAGTCATGCTGTAATGTGAAATCCGTTACTTGACACGCAAGTCTAAAGGTGAGTCATGCTGTAATGTGAACTCTGCTACTTGACACGCAAGTCTAAAGGTGAGTCATGCTGTAATGTGAACTCTGCTTACTTGACACGCTAAAGTCTAAAGGTGAGTCATGCTGTAAGAACTCCCGCTTACTTGACACGCAAGTCTAAAGGTGAGTCATGCTGTAATGTGAACTCTGTTACTTGACACGCAAGTCTAAAAGGTGAGTCATGCTGTAATGTGAACTCCGCTACTTGACACGCAAGTCTAAAGGTGAGTCATGCTGTAATGTGAACTCCGCTACTTGACACGCTAAGTCTAAAGGTGAGTCATGCTGTAAATGAACTCCGCCACTTGACATGCAAGTCTAAAGGTGAGTCATGCTGTAACGTGAACTCCTCGCTTGACACGCAAGTCTAAAAGGTGAGTCATGCTGTAACGTGAACTCCGTTACTTGACACGCAAGTCTAAAGGTGAGTGCATGCTGTAATGTGAACTCCGCTACTTGACACGCAAGTCTAAAGGTGAAGTCATGCTGTAATGTGAAATCTCGCTACTTGACACGCAAGTCTAAAGGTGAGTCATGCTGTAATGTGAACTCCGCTTACTTGACACGCTAAGTCTAAAGGTGAGTCATGCTGTAATGTGAACTCCGCTTACTTTGACACATAAGTCTAAAGGTGAGTCATGCTGTAATGTGAACTCCGCTACTTGACACGCAAGTTCTAAAAGGTGAGTCATGCTGTAATGTGAACTCTGTTACTTGACACGCAAGTCTAAAGGTGAGTCATGCTGTAATGTGAACTCTGTTACTTGACATGCAAGTCTAAAGGTGAGTCATGATGTAATGTGAAATCTGTTACTTGACACTCAAATCTAAAGGTGAGTCATGATGTAATGTGAAATCTGTTACTTGACACTCAAATCCAAAGGTGTCATGCTGTAATGCAGAAATCTGTTACTTGACACGCATAGTATAAAGGTGAGTCATGCTGTAATGTGAAATCTGTTACTTGATGCACAAATCTAAAGGTGAGTCATGCGCTGTAATGTGAAATCTGTTACTTGACACGCAAGGCTAAAGGTGAGTCATGCTGTAATGTGAAATTTGTAACCTTGACACGCTAAAGTCTAAAAGGTGAGACATGATGTAATGTGAAATCTGTTACATGACATGCAAGTCTAAAGGTGAGTCATGCTGTAATGTGAAATCTGTCACTTGACACGCAAGTCTAAAGGTGAGTCATGCTGTAATGAGAAATCTGTCATTATGTGTCTGTTACTATGATACCTTTACTATAAAAATGATACACATATCTTTCATCTGTTTTAGTCATGTGTTGTGTTTCCAGGTACCCATGGAGTGTCCCCCTGCGCCCTACCTGAAGTTGCTGCCTCCAGACTTAATATGTCGACTGTGTGTTCACGGCACGCATAAGATGACCTTCAGCAAAATATACTTGCTGTAAGAGGCAATTTAATGGAACTGGGTGGTCAGGCTTGCAGATTAACTTGATCTATCTTAGTGTCACAGTTGCTTAGATTGAAGATCATGATGTCAATCAGTGGATTGTCTGGTCCAGATTTAGTGAATTATTGATCTTTCTGATGTTTCTTGAAAATTGCTGTTTGGGGTTTTAAACAATAAGCAAGCATTGTCAATATCAGATATCAGTACAGATGTAGGACAAGGACAGTGGACACAAGGAAACAGAGTGGACAGGCATGGACAACGTGGTGGACAAAAAGGACAATGTGGTGGCATGACAGGAAGGATGGTAGGAAGGACAGACACAACGACATGACAGTGGACACACAAGGACAAGGACAAGGACCAGTGGACAGACACAGGAAGGACAACGACAGGACAGTGGTGGACACGACAGTGGACACGACATGGACAACGATCAGGACACAGACAGTGACTTGTGATGACAGTGGACAAGACAGTGGAAGGACAGTGGACAAGGACAGTGGACAAGGACAGTGGAACACAAGATGACAGTGGTGGAAGGACAGAGTGGTGGACAAGGACAGTGGATTGTGGTATGACAATGTGTGAGATGTCATGACAATGTGGTGGGTGGTGGGTATGACAGTGTGTTTGGTAAGGATGGTGGTGGGATGTTGATATGACAGGGTGGTGGGTATGACAAATGTGAAGGATGCAGGGCCGATAGCGGATTAGTGATAGGAAGACAGCAGTGTGGTGGTATGACAGTGGTGGGGTGGATGAATTTGACAGGTTGGGTATGACAGTGTGGTGGATGTTGTAAGACAATGTAATGGTGTATTGGGTACGACAGTGGACTTGTGGTGGACAGTGGACAAGGAAATGAAGGAAGGTGGATAAAGAGATGCTGCGGGTGCTTAACGTGAAGGGGTGGTGGGTATGACAACGTGGATGATGGCCGGAAGGATGGACAATGTGGATGTGGTTGTGGGTATGACAGAGCGGATGGACAATGATAGTGGTGGGATGGTTGCAGGACAGCTGTGACAAATGAAAGTAAGTGGAGGTGATATGACAGGGTGGCTGGTATGACAGGGGTGTCTGGTATGAGAATATGGTGCTAATGATAGAGGAAGGGATGCAGGCGACAGGGTAAGTGGACTGTGGATAGCGATAGGGTGGCTGGTAGAACAGTGGAATGGTGGGTATGACAATGTGATGGTGGATTGACAGTGCAGGGGCTGTGGGTATGGTGGAGGGTGGTGGGGATGAGTATGACAGGGGGTGGAGTGATGGATATCCCAGGGTTGTGGGTATGACAGTGTTGGGTGTGGTGGATATGACAGGGTGTGGGGGTGGGTGGTGGATAACCCAGGGTGGTGGGGTGATGGTTATGACAGGATGGTGGGGTGGTGGTAATGACAGGGTGGTGGGATGTTGGGTATGACAGGGTGGTTTGTTGATTGTGCAGGTGCTCAGTTGTTTATGTAATCAGCTACAACAGGCAATAACTGTTCTGTTTGTGCTGTAGATCGGTCAGCTGTACCAGCAATACGCGACAGCACTATAATGACAAAGACTTCCCCTTTCTCCAACCACAGAGAGTGCTGGCATCACATCATCACCAAGGAGGGCATGTGGTCATCATTGGTAAAGTACCCAGTAGTTACTGCTATATAGAGTGCTGTGGGGTAGCTTAGTGGTTATAGTGTTTGCTCGTCACGCTCGAGACCCCGCTTCAATTTCCCACCAGGGTACAATGTGTGAACCCTAATTTGTGTGTCCCCTGCCATGGTATTGCCGGAGTATTGCTAAATGCAGCATAAAACTAAACTCGCTCACACTCTCTGATATATAGTATGCCGCTGGCTAGCCTAGTAGTTAAAATGCCCTCGCCAATGATGTTCTGTTTAATTGTTGATTGGTTAGTTTGTCATTTAGCTCAACACACAGTAGTATTTCATCTTAGTTATCAAGTTATCAAGTTGATATTATTGCTTTTATGATTAATGTGATCACAATAACAATACAATCAACCATGGTATGACATCTTCATTTGGATCAATTTCTCAGTTGTCCTGTGTGTTTTACAGGATGTTCCATCAAAACCCTGGCCAGACCACATCATGAAGTCAGTAAAGTGTTACCTAGCAACCTCTCATCCTGTCATTGTACACTAGTTATGTTGTTCTCGTATGCGGCGAAGTTACACTAGTTATGTTGGGTGAGGTGAAATTGGGTTTAACGTCGTGCTTGAGAATATTTCGCCTATATGACAAATGTGCATGCGTGTGTATGTGTGCAAGCGGCTGCTGGTACTAGCCCAGACTGAAGCTGGTTTTATAGTGCTAGCCCACTGACATACCATGCGCGCAGTGAAGCATGAATACCCCACTCAGACACATTATACTGACTCGATTCGACCAGTCCTTTGTTGTAACGCATTAATGGCGCCAGGCGCAGGGACCAAAAAGTACCATATTTTAACGTCTTTTTGGTATGACGCTGGTCAAAGATTGAACCCGCGACCTTTCGGCCTCCGGCAGACGCCTCTAACCACTACACCATGGAAGCCGATCCAGTTATGTTGGGGGCTTTGGCGGCAAGGCGCCAGTCCAGTGATCCAATGAGGTTGAGGTGTTGGGATCGAGCCCACCTGTGACCGGGTGTAAAACCTTGTCAGTACAACATCATTAATCCCAACTCTCCACTCATGCTGTTGGACCGCTCTGTGGTGTAGTGGTTAGAGCCGTCCGCCGGAGAGTGGGAGGTCATGGGTTCGATCCCCGACCTGGCCTTACCAAAAGACGCTAAAATATGGTACTTGTTGGTCCCTGCCTGGCCGCATTAATGTGTACAACAAGGACTGGTCGGCTCGAGTCAGTATAATGTGTGTCTGAGAGAGGGATATTCATGCTTCACAGCCGCATGGTATCTCAGTTGGCTAGCACTATAAAATCAGCTTCAGTCTGGGCTAGTACAAGCAGCCGCACATACACATACACACGCATGCACGCCATCATATGCACGAAATATTCTCCAGTACACGACGTGAAAACCCAATTTCAACCTCACCTCACCTCACTAATGCTGTCATTGTGCCTGCCCACTCCTCCAAGCTATCATAATTTGCTCTGTAACCTAAAATCAGTCAGAGATTATGCTAAAATTGTCCATTTCAGTCTGATAAGTCAAAGTTCTCTTTCTTTCAGTTATCCTGAGAGTTATTTCCAAACTACACTCTCACTTAGATTTGTAATTTAACCATCATCACATGAATGGCCATTGTCACCTGCATGTTTTGTCTGTCCTCAGATTGGGAAGACCTTTGTTCGATGTCATCCTGTATGACATGAAGATAGATTCTAATTTATTCAGGAACACAAATGAAAGGTGAGGACAAACCTGGGTCTTAAACCCATAACGCACACATATCTGCCATGTAGGTCATCAGTTGAGTATCAGTCCTCAATAGTGAGTGAGTAAGTTTAGTTTTATGCCACACTCAGCAATATTCCAGCTATGTATGGGCGGTCTGTAAATAATTGTGTCTGGACCAGACAATCCAGTGATCAACAGCATGAGCATCTATCTACGTAATTGGGATACAATGACATGTGTCCTTCAAGTCAGTTAGCCTGACCACCCAATCCTGTTAGTCGCCTCTTACGACATGCATGGGTTACTGAAGATCAGTTCTAATGGAGATCTTCACAGGTCAGGTCCTATGCTGAGGAGAATAAGATGAACTGAGAGGCCATGCTTGGGGACTGATTGATAGCTTATCAGATCAATATCTATGTGGATCACATGATCTGGATGAGTGTGTTGCCTTGTGTGTCCAAACTGGCTTGATGTTGCTCTTAATTTCAATCACTAGTTTACATGGTCCACTGTTGATTACTTAAGCCGTATTTACAGGCTGCCATAATATAGCTGGTATATTGCTGACTGTGTGACTGTTTGTCATTGTCAACAATATGCTATTGTACTATATCATAGGGATACCCATGAATTGGTCTTCAGCAACCTATGCTTGCTGAAAGAGGCTTAACTAACGGATCGGGTGGTCAGACTCGCTGTCTCGGTTGACATAGTATCCCAATTGTGTAGATCAATGCTCATGCAGTTGATCAGTGGATTGTCTGGTCCAGACTCACCACTTACAGACTGTCGCCATATAGCTGGAATATTGCTGAGTGCGGCATGAAACAACAAACCAACATGGACATCAGTTGCTTCAGTTAAGTTATGAGGTTCTTTATTAAATTCAGTCAACTTTATGAAGGGTTTGTGCTTCTCTCTTGATCACACTACATGAGACTTTCATTGGTATCAAATCAAGGCTGACGATTATACTACTATTGCCATATGCTCTGTTTGTAGGAAGATGGTGCCAGCCTTCTACTCCGGTACAGAACATCACGGGCACAGAATGATTGAAGAACTGAAAGTAAGTAGACTTATTCTCTCTCTGTCTCCAGCAGGAAATCCTGTGATGCTCCAATCATGTTGTGACAGTTTTCTGGGTTTCTGTTGGGACTCCCTCAGCAGAGTCTGTTCTCCAGATTGACCAAAGTGTGCACAGAAAGAATACCCAGGAAGTCACCATGAATCTTTTCACCAACAACTGACTAAAATGGATATTAACTTGTCTGTGTGTTGTTTGAGTGTCATCATTTTGTTTGCTGTCAGCAAGGAAGTCTGGTCCAGGCAATCTGGTGATTGAAATCATGAACATCAATCTGGATATGATGATATGCAAACATGTCAGCAAATCTGACCACCAGATCCTGTAACTTGCCTCTTACAACCAGCATGGGTGGCTAATGACCAATTCTAAACCAGGACTTCATGTTGAAGTATGTAGTCATCGTGAATGCCAGTGGCATGGATTATTGCTTGCACTGTTACTAACTGATTAATCGGGCCTGATTATTTTCATGATTATTTACATGAACATCACTTCGAGTTAAAATGACAAACTGTCTCAGGGCCGAAATGTGGTGTAATATGGCGCCTCTGTCTTTCCAGCCGAATCCGGACCTTAGTGCGGTCTATCAAGCGCTTGACCTTGATGAAATGACCTCTGACACCAGCGACCTCCCAATGCTGGTTCCACCGATCCCCTGGGTGTCGATGAATCATGGGGATTTCTGCTGGGATCAGGTACATATTCCTACCTGTCTGTCATTAACTATGTACAGGTATAGAGTAATGTGTGTCCTTTGAAGTTAATCATCAAATATGGGTTTCCACATTAATTGAAAATTATGACAGTTTTTTATATCTCCACTTGAAGATATGTTTCTGTAAGATACAACCAACCTCTTTCCACCATGACTACTTGTTTCTTTCCCAATATTAGAAACACACCCCATTACTATAGAATCCATTAGCTATCAGAGTTTCTGTTTCTCTTGTCATTTTGAGGTAAAACCATATTTTTTCCTTATCCTGACTCATGCTCTTTTGCTTGTCTTCTTCTTCTTGCTAACATAGTGGAAACACTTGTATCTCCTTAATTGAAGCTCCCTTCAATGTAAAATCACTAATTAGTACTCACCACGAGTTGCTCCCCTTTAATCCCTTTGGCGGGAAAGGTGTCGCCACCTTACACCTCGTGCTTCACTCTCTCCTTCTTAGCCCAGTGAGCAGGATGCTAGAGCCTGTGTCTCCTTACACAACATATCCTTTGATTTTTCTTAGTTTATTACTTCTTATAGTGTACTATAGAGGTATAGCTAGTATCCTTCAGTAATTTGTATTGATTATTTATCGTATTTCTACTGTTTATTCACGTGTATTCGTGATTGTTCAGCTAGTATTACGTTGATGAAAATCTGTACTATTTGTAGATTACGTTTTTCTGCCTCAGATCCGCATGTAATATGCCCAGTGTTTCCGTGAGTTTTGAATTTACCAGTCCATGGGACTGGTAAGCCTCAAATATACCAGTCCCTTGTTATTTTCACCAGTCCACTTCTTTTCCATGTTAAATAAAGATAACAACAAGAATGTGTGTGTGTGTTTGTGTTTCATTTTTAATAACAACAAACGATCAAACTCATTCAACATGAAATGTGAAATGACGCCACGTTACTAGTAAACCGCGCAAGTTTGTTTGGCAGTACTTGTACAGTTATCAACTGTTAATTACACTTTTCTTTTCTTGGTTTTAATGGAATAGTTCGATGCTCTCGAGAAGTCTAAACGGTCATTAGCATGCATGTTGAGAATCATTAGATTGTTCATAATGATGCTGCGCGAAGACGGTTTCTGCTTGCAGTGTGGATTCTATTTTGCAAGCTAAATCCCTCTCGGCAGGCACGCTTACTCACCGTATTGTGAGCGCAATTTCAGCTTAGAGTACTGAAGTCTGGGAAGATGTCAGCATATTCAGTTATAAGAACTTTGCAAGTCATGTCAAAATTACCACTTCCAATGCCAGAATTGACACGCTTGAATTGCTGGAATCACGGTTTAATCGATCCCGGTCGATATAAGGCGCCGTGGACGCCATTGTTGTCTTGACCAATCACAGGGCAGAAGTGATCTAGAAGCACCGTGAAGGGAATCCCCACCATAGTTGGCTAGATCTTCTTTCTATCTGGATATTTGTCATGATTAAGCACATTGTCCAACGCTTGTAGAAGGTCCAGAGATTTCTCTGGGAATCTCCTATCAAGGGAATCCACAAGATCTTCAATAAAGCACGCCCTCATTGTATTGAAGGCTTCCATTGATCGCTTGTCAGCATAGGTTATGGTAATTCCTCGAACTGACTCGGTCCTTCTTCATATTCCCTTCTAGGAACTTTTCGCTTCTCCCCCTTTCTTTAATCAAATATTGGAGTGATTCCTTAGTGGACAAGACCATTGGTCCGATGATGGCCAGATTTAACACTTCTCTTTGGAAACGGTCACAAGTTTTTCCATCAGCTGCAAAACGCCACTCAACATGTATGTTGTTGCAACGAAAGAATACGCCAGTTTTTGAAATTCCAGTTGCTGCCGTATTGTTCCGCTCCTCACTCTCCTCTTCGATCTCCATGACTAATGCAGGCCAGTTACGCTTTGGTTGAGTTTACAGCCCGCCCTAAAGAGAGCCATCTAACAGCACATGGTTGTTTTATGCTCGAAAACTCGAATCATCCAAAACTTCACTAAGTTCCTCAGTCTTCATGCACTTCGCCGCTGAATACTGATAAAGTTTGTACACCTGATTTAATGTATTGCGGTACTCTGTAATAGTTCCTGAAAGTTTAGCAGCATCCTGTGAAGCTAAAGCCACGCTGATGGGCAATGCAATGCACATGGATAAGAAAAGGTGAGTCCTGTGTAAGTCTAACACCGACGCCAGTTTTGCGCCTGTCATGACACTGGCACCGCCAGTTCCCAAACCAATGATTTTTTCGAGTGGAATGCCCCATTGGTCAGCTACCTGTCGACTTTCTCAGCAATGCACTCCGTGATACCGCTGTGCACTGTGAAATTTCCTAAAAAGATAGTCTCTGCTTTTCCATGGTGTACTAAGCGCAGCAAACATGATGATGAGTTTTTTCCACAGTTACGCTCACAGTTTCATCCATGATTAGCCCGACAAACCGACTTTGGCGCATAATTTCTGTTTAAGATTCTCAATGGTACACTCAGTTAATGCTTCTTCCATTTCACAATTGAATCAGAATGTGAGTATATAACTCCACTTAAAGATGAACAGCCATTTCTCTTCTGTAGGTCAATAAGCCCCTTGAACTTGTTTCTTGGTACATTTTCCTTAGCCATATATAAAACTGTGCGATCATAGCAGTCAAGCTTATCATCATTTTTCGGCCTGAATATCACTAATGTGAGATTCCATAGCCTTCTTTTGAGATAAACGAACCACTGCTTCATGATGGCTAGCTGTCACGGTGCTCTTTAAGGGCAGATTTTGAAATTGATACAGCCTTTGTAAAGCCGCTTATTTTAGCGCAGCCTCACAAATTCGACAAAACATAACACCCGCCCCGACTGCTTTTGATTGTCATATCGAGCCATGGAAACTCCTCTTCCAGTCGGTATTGAATTTTCTGGACTTTTGGATTTTGTTTCACATACTGTTTTGCTGGAAGTTGATTGTTTCTCGCTTACGCCTAATTTTCGCTTAGAACCAAAGAGCCCAGAAAGCGCTGCTCTGCTTTGAGGTCCGCCATTTTCAAACTGAAAACTTAGGGACCGCTCATAATTTAGAGCAAGTGATGATGATGATTTTTAAAGAAGCATGAACAATGTGAATGGATCCCCTAAAATGTACGCATAAATTATGTGACGCCCCCACTTTGCAAATC